GCATCCACCAGCTGACTGTCCCGACAGGTTTTCCTTAGAATTCACCGGAGTCCACCGAATGAGCTTCTAAAACAAGGTAATTGTTGAAATTGTTGTTTCGGTGAATTCGAATGTTAAAAGATCGGTGCTATCGGTGTGGCCTCGTACCTCAGCTGGTAGAGCATGCGCGTACAAAGCGTAGGCGGCTTAGCTGGTAGAGCATGCGCGTACAAAGCGTAGGCGGTGTCCATGCGTGGGTTCGAATCGCACGGCTACTGAACTTTTCACAATCCACATAGAAACTTCAAATGTGACAAACAACTATTCGAACATATACCGATAGTTTCACAATCGACGTAGAAACTTCAAATCTGCCAAACAACTATTTGAACAACACTGAACTTTTCACAATCGACATAGAAACTTCAAATGTGCCAAACAACTATTTGAACAATGAACTTTTCACAATCGACATGCAAACTTCAAATCTGCCAAACAACTACTTGAACAATTAACCTTGTCTTAGAAGCTCATTCGGTGGAGTCCGGTGAGTTCTAAGGAAAACCTGTCGAGGCAGTCAGTTTACATGCTAACTGGTGGATGCCACACGCCTCTGTAATTTGGATGGGTAAATTCGAATGTGAAAAAGATCAGTGCTATCGGTGTGGCCTCGTACCTCAGCTGGTAGAGAATGAGCGTACAAAGCGTAGGCAGCGTCCATGCGTGAATTCGAAACCCATCGAGGCTACTTAACTTTCCACGATAGACATACAAACTTCAAAGCGGCCATAAATTTTCATCAAAAAGCCCTTTTTCCTCCTCGAGAAGAATTTTGATAGGTAAGAAATATTTTTGCTTGTAAATCTGAATCAATTCAAAAGATTTAGTAACAACAAGTAACTGACTTCGCTCTTTCGCAGCCCAATTGGCAAACTCAAAGTACCAGTGTCATAATTGTAAAAATCCAGTGCCGTTTTGAGGAGAGTAATTTTTTTCAAAATACAGCGCAGGATAAAAGGTAAATAAGGTTACACAGAACAAAACATCTAATTTGCACCAGTTGGCTATCATTTTCGTGAGCTTCTTTTCATCGATGACCTTTATTCCTAGGGCCTGTTCATTTCTTTTGTCGTCACAATGATAAACTCATAAATGTGAGTAGTACCTTAAAATATCAGGAATATTTTCCCATCGAAAACGATCAACGAAAGAAATTACAGAAAAAAGGCTAATGACTGAAGTTGAGGAACAGGTTTACGCGTGGTTCAGCATAACCGGTCAAAAAGCAGTGGTTTTGTGATCAAATGGAGAAACCAAGGGTCGTTAAAGTTCAGTTTACCTAAAACGTGACCATCGGTAGACTGATGCGGATGACTACATCCGTAAAATTTAACGACAGCAAGTTTAGTGGCTGTTATGTCAGCCAGGGTTTAGCAAAATAACATTCATAAACTGCAACTCGCACAATTGAGATACCAAAGTACAAGTCCAAAATAAAGGATGCATACTTCCACTTTCAGTTTAGTTTAACGAAATCTGGAGGAATGGAAGCAGTTGAAAAATATAACCCGGATTTTCAGTTTCAATCGTATTTTCATCTGAAAATTTCCCTCATAGCGTGACCTTTTTGCAAACGCAGTTTCTCTATTGGTTGAAATCACGCTTTCACATGAGTTGATACCGAATAAAGAATGTTGAACCAGAATTTGATATACTTCTTTCTCGCCGTCACAATGGTTGATCCGCATTTCTTCTCTCGGAAAACCTCTAATTTGGCTGCTCCATTCGGCAATAATAGTGTGCATCAACTAATAGCAGTTGTATATATCTGCAGCTTAATGTACTTCCGTTTTAGGTACATTGCCAAGACACAATAGTGGGCAGGCGGATCACGAAGAAGAATTATGTACCTTTACGACGCAAATGGCTGACCCGATCGATGAAATAAGCAACACACTTCTCGTCCGATAGCACGCTGCGATTATTTTATTTTAGATTCAACGTACTTTTTATAAGAATGGTCTGATACAGTGCCGAGCAAATGTGACCAGATTGCAAATAGGATGAGAAACGATACGTTCAGGATGGTAGTAAAGGCGGAAAGGTTATAGGTGACAGATCATTCTCATTGGCGCATTGTGAATCGAATGCATTAGTCCATCGTGGTGAGAAACTATGATCCCGGGTGACCTTTGAGTTCCGAATTACCCTCGCTAACCAGGTGAAATGCTGATAACGCTTCGTTTTATTAACTGTGCATTTTACTGGCAGTGTATGGGTGATCGCATTTATTTAAATTAGCGGTGAAGGTTGAGAAAAGCTCGAGCTCCACGGAGTTTACTTGTTGGGTTACAAGAGGTCTAGGCTTAACCTATCCACACAAAGGCTAACTTCAACATTAGCTCCTGAGCAGTATGATCGATTCACTCTGACATGACGTTAGTTTTTAACGGAAACGACCCAGTTCAAGCATCACTGTATTCGCTTATTCGTGTATAAGACTCACTCGATTCACGGTACGGGGTATAACGTTCCTGGGAGTGGAAAATCACACACCAGTCCACCTAAACCTGTACCACCGCTTAGTACTTCATGACAAAGTACGTTCGTTTGCTTCTGCGGAAATTACTTCATTCCGATTAAATGGGCCTTAGTTTTGACCCAATTCACTGGGTGACGTAAGACGGCCGAAGCATAAATCACTTTGCGGGTTTACGAGAAGAATGCGATATGTGAATACAATTGAGATTAGAACAGTTGCACTTGAAGTTGGTAAGGGGACATGAGCTTATCTTTTAATAGCACAACCACTTACGACTAATTGTGAACTGAAAATGAAAACAGACTAGAAAATTCATTTTAGTGGACGCTCACTCGACGCGAAAGTTGATCCAAATTAATGCGCACGGTTGTTTGCAACGAGGGTCCACATGCAATGGTCAGCACATTGGGACTCGGACCGATGTAAGCCATTCGATCCTCGTCGGGACAGCAGGACAAAATGCTGCGAATTTGAGATGCCGTGTTCGTCTTGCTATGCGATGGCGAAGAAAACACGGCGATTTGTTTTGGGCGTGTCCGAAGTAGTTTGGCTACCGTTGGAGGTTCTTTGTTTGATTGCAGACGCCAGACAGCTAGCGTACCTGATGAGTCTGCGCTGTACAGAAACTTTCCACAGTGAGAATACTGCAAAGCTGGAAGAACATTTCAAAACGATAATCAAAAAGCACGGTCAGTTGACGGGTGAGCCACACATTAAGTCTTTTCTTTTGTTAATTTATATCGTGACTACTAGTGAGCACACGAATGTTAGTAACAATCAGTTGATTTAAACCCATATATATATATATATCAAATTCAAATTTTCAGATTTTTATCATGGGTAAATTACAAAGCTGATGCTTATTGAAGCCCATAGGGTCTGTACACACTAGGTTCGGTTGATAGTACAATTGCATATCAAATTCCGACGTTCACTCAGGAGTACTGAAAAGTTAGGTGGTTCATTGCTTCATTCAGTCATGACTTGAATGAATCGATGGTTGGTGCACAAACAACTTCAGGTGGAAGAGAGTTCCAGGTGTTACAAACTCCGAGACTGAAAGAATGACGCTTGCAGTCGAGCCGGCTCTTTGGGAGCAGAATTTTAAACGGATGTCCTCGGAGGTGACCATTCCTACTACACGGCTGGTTAGGTTGGTGTAGTATTTGATAAATGAGGATCATGTCTCCCCGTCACAATAACCTTGTTTGCAACATTGGGTGTCTTTTGAATAGACAGCTCTTTCAGAGCCAGTCCACTGAAAAATCAATGCAAT